ACCTAATCTGTCAAATGGTTGTGAACATCGTTCTTCATCACTATTATCACGCACCCGCACAATATCGTATTGATCCTACTCATGTTACCCATGCTACTTAATCAACACAATACCAAAGAGGATACAATGAATATCAACTTACAAAACCATGTCAAAAGTTTGTTCATTGATAGATGAAAATCTTAGATCAAAGATGTGAAAAGGTTTTGTCAAGACCCATAAAAGAAATCAAAGACATTCAATCAATAGAGAATCAAAACTAGTTCACAAATATATATTAGATGAAATACATAAGGTATCAAAAGATTACATCCTAACCCCAACAAGAGATCAAAGATCTTACCTCTTCCCTCTTAGGGTTTTGTATTTCTCTCTCTAAAATAAACTTGAAATGAAGAGAGATAAGTTCTGATGTAAAAAATAATACATTATGACCTAAAAAGCAATAAAAATACTTATATAGTACAAGCATGATCTGTCATGTTCAACTAGCGAACAGATCCTTCGCCTAGCGAACAACAAATTAGGCACCTGAGGTGCCTATGAACAGTTAAACCGCCCCTGAGATATTTCCAAATATTCGCTGGGCGAGAAATTCTTCACCTAGCGAAGCCTTCGCTGAGAACTTCGCCTAGCGAGTTTATGGCCCTTTCGCCTCTGTCTTAAGTCTGGGAGTGCTCGCTGGCTACGCGCTACCTCTTCGCCTAGCAAGGTTTTCGCTGCCTCCTTCGCCTAGCGAGCTTTGTGAAGTTTTCTGGCAAGCTTCGCTAGGAGCTTCGCACGGCAAGTTTTATGATGTTTTTTCTGCTGTCTTGGTTTCCTTGCCCAATTTCTTGTGTCTTAATATTCACTTGTTTTGTGCATAATTCCTGCACAATAATACACAAATCAAAGCAACCAAGGCATATATCAACAATGAAGCAAATCATCTAAAACTAGAGTGATTCTAATCATTTTTACCTACAAAAAGAATGAAAGATGCCAACATTTGATAGAGAAAATAAGCAAAGTTTGACATCTAACAACTCTCCCCAACTATATTTTTGCTTGTCCTCAAGCAAATTATGTCTCTCATTTCAAACAAGAGGATTTGCTTAAGACTAAGATTCACCCAAGAATGGATAAAATGGCTCACACACAAAGAATGCAAACAAGCAATGGTTTCAAATGTTGAGAATCAAACAATGCACAAGAACTAACTTCTTAAAGCAAGTATAAAGCCATGCATCAATCAACAACTATGTTTTTCATGAATGAATCACTCTATCTCTCCTCTTCGAATAAGGATTGAAGAAATTACGCGTTTGCAACCGCAGGGATAATTTCACTCACCTGACAAATAATGCCAATATCAATTCAATTCATACAAAATCTAACAGTCAAAAGTGAAAATATGGAAGCAAAAAGATCACTAAGGTCTTTAAGGTTGTAGCTTGGTCGGGTTTACAAACAAGGGTCACTTATAAGGCCATTGAAACGAAATTGTCGCTGCAAAAGAAACATTCACCGTACACGTTATTTACACATCCCAACTTCATTCCATTTGTTTCTCAATTGCAAACCTTCACAAACCTTATTTCACAACTTATTCTTTCACTATTTTTTTCTTTTCCAAGCAAGCATTCTTTTTCTCATTTTTTTTACATTCATATTCACATAACATTTTTTCAATGCTTGCTTAAATTTTTCAAAAGTTGTAGCAACCTACCATCTTTCTTTTTCATTCTTCCCAACTTAACTTTTACTCAACCCTCAAGTGAATGCTCTTGGCTTTTTATGGCAAAGAGGACAATTAAAACAAAATTCAAGGGTTCAAGAAAAATTTTAGAATCTCACAAAATTAAGAATGAGATTCACATTGTTTAGACTCAAAGGGGTTAACAAATTTTCTCTGCTCAAGGGTAAGTTGCATTTGGAACTAGTTGTGCTCAATAAAAATAAGTTCCTTGATCATTTCTAATGCTTCCAAAAATTCACAATGATAACAAGATAAAACATGAATCACACGAATCAACAAAGTTTATCAGAAATCCAGTATTTATTAAACAATGGAAGCTTTCTCACAAATTGTGGTTTTTGGTCCTAAGTGAAACAATCATTCAAACAAGTTGCCAAAAGAACAAATTTCATTTGCACAAAGACTTAAGTTCCTAAGCATTCTAAAATTCTAAACAAAGGAAACCATGTACCTTGACAACATTCACTTGTTTCATACTATCATCGCCATCCAAACTCGATCGAATCTTCATTGAATGCTTTTATACCAATAGCAACCACTCTAAAAGGAGTTCTCATCATTCCTGAGCACACTAGAGAAAACATAAAAAGAAACAAATATATATACAATATAAACAAATATACAAATCTTAAAAATATAGAACTGCGACAATGCACTTCAACATCTCAACAACTATCCCCGGCAACGACGCCATTTTGTTGATGCAGTAAAGCAGCAAGCAAAAAATTATTAAGTAACCAGTTTTGTCGTCTCCACAGGGATCAGTGCGATGAAAGAACGCAGTTCCACGGTTTCTACATTTCTAAACTTTTTATTCAAAAGGTTTGGTTTAAAAGGTTCAAGGAACCATAAATAAAAACAGAAAATATAAAGTAAATACTGAAATATAAACGGAGCCTTGTTGGGATTGGATCTCATCAACTGATAACACATGCATTCTTCTGATCAAGTTAAACACAACGCAATCATTCGTCTAATATCCTCACGTATCACCCACGACGGAGGTCATCTCTAACGCAACATCGAGAGAACAACTGTGTTGTCTCATTGGTGATGTCTCACCCAACAAAAACACAACACAGAGCATTAAGAGCTAATACTCACACAGATGCTAAGCCTAAACCTATGTCTAGCATTTAGGACCTAACATGTAATCATCCTAGATCTAGATTTGAAGAGTATATGTCTATCACGGTTCAAATTAAAGATAAACAGGTAAACAAAGACGACACCCATATCAGATAAACGATTATTTTTCATAAAACACAATGATCAAAATACGTACACACGCTTAACCCTTTTTATATGTATTCACCTAATCTGCCAAATGGTTGTGAACATCGTTCTTCATCACTATTATCACGCACCCAAAGAATATCATATTGATCCTACCCATGCTACCCATGCTACTTAATCAACACAATACCAAAGAGGATACAATGAATATCAACTTACAAAACCATGTCAAAAGTTTGTTCATTGATAGATGAAAATCTTAGATCAAAGATGTGAAAAGGTTTTTTCAAGACCCACAAAAGAAACCAAAGACATTCAATCAATAGAGAATCAAAACTAGTTCACAAACATATATTAGATGAAATACATAAGGTATCAAAAGATTACATCCAAACCCCAACAAGAGATCAAAGATCTTACCTCTTCCCTCTTAGGGTTTTGTATTTCTCTCTCTAAAATAAACTTGAAATGAAGAGAGATAAGTTCTGATGTAGAAAATATTACATTATGACCTAAAAAGCAATAAAAATACTTATATAGTACATTCAGGATTTGTCATGTTTGCCTAGCGAACAACAAATTAGGCACCTATGGTGCCTCTGAACAGTTAAACCGCCCCTGAGATATTTCCAAATATTCGCTGGGCGAGAAATTCTTCGCCTAGCGAAGCCTTCGCAGAGAGCTTCGCCTAGCGAGTTTATGGCCCTTTCGCCTCTGTCTCAAGTCTGGGAGTGCTCGCTGGCTACTCGCTACCTCTTCGCCTAACGCGTTCTTCGCTGCCTCCTTCGCCTAGCGAGCTTTGTGAAGTTTTCTGGCAAGCTTCGCTAGGAGCTTCGCACAACGAGTTTTATGATGTTTTTTCTGCTGTCTTGGTTTCCTTGCCCAAGTTCTTGTGTCTTAATATTCACTTGTTTTGTGCCTAATTCCTGTACAATAACACACAAATCAAAGCAACCAAGACATATATCAACAATGAAGAAAATCATCTAAAACTAGAGTGATTCTAATCACTTTTACCTACAAAAAGAATGAAAGATGCCAACATTTGATAGAGAAAATAAGCAAAGTTTGGCATCTAACAACTCTCCCCAACTAGATTTTTGCTTGTCCTCAAGCAAAGTATGCCTCTCATTTCAAACAAGAGGATTTTCATAATTGTTTTTAAAACAAAACTTATAGCAGCACTTTAGGGGGAAAAACGTTGTCTATGTAGTGTTGGCAAAAAACAATTTTGGCGTAGTGCACAGATAGGGTTCCATGATTATGTCATGGAACATTAAGGGGCTAAAAGTTTGAATTATCTTCAAAAACTTAATGGCTCAACTATCCAAACTCACCATGACATTAATTGAAAAGGAATTTTTGGATTTATATGGTAAGTTTATGAGGAAGCAGAATAATAATATCACTCATATAGATATAGAGGCTATGAGATTAGGGAACCAATTAAACATGGAGCAAAGAGAAAATCTTGTTAGGATCATATTTTAGCTAGAAATCACAAAAGCATTGAATGATATGAGTGACTTGAAAGCACCGGGGATTGATGGATATGGAGCTAGGTTTTTTAAAGCCAGTTGGTTAATTATTAAAGGTGTTGTGATTGTTGCAGTTAAAGAGTTTTTTTTGACATAGGTACCATTTAAAGAATTCAATAATACAGTCATAACTTTGATTCCAAAAAATGACAATCCTAGACATATAAAGGACTATAAATCTATAGCTGGCTACACCATTTTTTACAAGATTATTGTTAGAATCCTGATTGATAGGTTGGGGGAGGGGAGTTCTTCAAAGTGTTATTAGTCCTTGCCAGGCTGCTTTTGTGCCAGGCCAGAACATACAAAACCATATTCTTTTAGCTTATGAGTTACTCAAAGGTTATACAAAGGAAATGTGGTACCCCATATTCTATAGAACCATGATTCAAACAGACTTACAAAAGGCTTATGATATGGTCAATTGGCAAGCCTTGAAGTGTATTGTGAAGGAGATTGGGATCCCTTGCAAATTTATCAAGTGACTTATGGGAGGGATCACTATTGTGTCTTATAAGTTTAATCTTAATGGTGAATACTCTGAGTTTTTACAAGCCAAGAGAGGAATCAGGCAGAGGGACCCTATCTCCCTTCTTCTCTTTGTTATTCTTATGAAGTATATGCATAGATCTTTGATCAAGATGCATAAAATCCCAATTTTAACCATCATGGCAAATGTGAAAGTTTTAACCTCAAAAACCTCACATTTGCTGATGATGTGTTGTTATTTTATAGAGGAGATTCTAAACTGGCCATTACATGCCCTTGGTGGACAAAATTGTGGGGAAAATTTATCATTGGTCTTCTAAACTGTTAAGTTATGCAGGTATAATCCAATTGGTGAAGAGTTTTACTAGTGCTATTGCCGAATACTGGATGCAATGCTTCCCCATCCCTAAAATGGCGATCAAGAAGATAAATGTTATATGTAGAAACTTTATTTGGACAGGTATGAAGGATATCAACAGAAAAGTCATGTTGCCTAAACGAAAGTGCGCAAGTCCAAGAACCAGTGTGGGTTGCAGATCTTGAATCTGGTTGTTTAGATTAAGGTTTGGTTGCTAAAATGTCTTTGGAATCTTTGCAGGAAATCAGATAACATGTGGGTGAAATGGGTGCACCAATATTAAATAAAAAATTCTGAAGTCATGGAGTATGAGACCAAGGTTCATAATTCATGGTTAATCGAAAGCATCATGAACCAGAGAGATAGTTTGGATGTCTTGCAGCAGGTTTGGGATAGAGCAATGCTTCAACAGAAATTTAAATCCAAACCATTCAATATAATGCTCAATGAAGACAATGAGAAAGTGAATTGGAGGAATCTAATCAAGTTTAATCAAACAAGGCTTAGAGTTGTCATTTGTCTTTTGCTTACTTGCCACGGTAATCTTGCTACAAAGGATAGGATGAAGCGATTTGGAATGTTACAGGATAACTTGTGCAATTCGTGCAAGATAGAAGAAGAATCCATAAACCACCTCTTATTCAGCTGCAGCAAAACTAAGGATATTTGGAGTGACATGCTCAAGTGGGTGGAAGTGAACCATATTTCCCAAAAGTGGAAGGATGAGATTAGATGAATTATTGGTGTTACTAAAGAAAAAGGGTGGAGAGCTACTCTCATGAAAATGATTGTGGCTGAAATAGTATATGGTATTTGGAGTTATAGAAATGATATAGTTTTTGACAAAACTGTGGATAATAATAGTGTAAGTACAAAAATCATTGATAGTGTGGTGTATAGAGATTGGCAACATTGTTAAATTGATGATGTAATTAGTCTTGATAGATTGGTTGGATCCTTGGGATCACCTTGGGTTGTATTTGCTTTTTTGAGTTAATATATATCTTTTGATTATAAAAAAATGAAATGTTATAATGAATCTATATATATATATATATATATATATATATATATATATATATATATATATATATATATATATATATATATATATATATATATATATATATATATATATATATATATATATATATATATATATATATATATATATATATATATATATAATAAATATTAAAATAAATATAGTAAATAATTAATAAAAATATAAATATTGTAAGTATTTATTAATATAAATATAGTAAATATTAATATTTACTATATAAATATTAATATTTAAAAAATAAACATTAAACTAAAATTAGTATAATATTAAACTTAAATTAATATAAATAAACATTAAATAATATAAATAATTTTTAATATTTACTATATAAATTTAATATTCACTATATAACATTAAACTGAAGTTACTATATTTGGAACATTAAAATGAATTAAAAATTAATAATTTTATAGTAAATATTATTGTTACACTACGCCAGAAATCACTTTTAGTAGCGCATAGAAAGACAGCGCTTTTTACAAAAGCGCTGCTAAAGGGCCATAAAAAAAAAAGAAAAAAAGCGCCTACCAAAGACAGCGCTTTTAAAAAAGCGTTGTTAAATGGTGGGTCTAAGAAAGCGCTTTTAGAAAGCGCTGCTAAAGGGGGGCCCTAAGAAAGCGCTTTTTAAAAGCGCTGCTAAAGGGGGACCCTTAGAAAGCGCTTTTTATATAAAGCGCTGCTATATGGAATTGATAAGGCACCCTATGAAAGCGCTTTTAAAAGCGCTGCTAAAGGCCTTTAAAAGCGCTGCTAAAGGTATTCATATTATAATTTTAAAATACCCTCCAGAATTTTAATAGAATCAGAACAGTCACGCTAACTATTTCTTCTTTCTCTGGCGAACGAAAACACGAACCAACCACCCACTGTTCATCGTCCGACCATCGCCTTCTTCCGTCCGATCATCCTTCCGACCATCACCGACCGTTCACCGTCCGTTTTTGAGTTCATCCATCCGTCTGCATTGCCGGTCCACCATTGTTACGGTACGTGAAGCTTGCTATGCTTTTCTTGTTTTTTTTTTTTTTAATCTTTTCACCATTGTTGTTCTAATGATATAGATGGTTTTATATAGATGGTATTTGAACATAATAGATAGTTTTATATTGTTGCTGTTGTTGTTTTTATTGAAGGTTTTGTGTTATTTGAGTTATTGAAGGTTTAGTGTAAAATATGATATTGAAGGTTTTGTGTTATTTGTTGTTGCTGTTGTTGTTCTGATGGTTTTTGTTGTTGGTTTATGTAAAATATGATATTGAAGGTTTATGTAAAATATGATATTGAAGGTTTAATATGATATATGAGATATATATGATATTGTTGTTGTTGTTGATGTAAAATATGAGATATTTGAGTTTTTTGTTGTTGTTGTTGTTGTTGTTGTGTTATTTGTTGTTGTTGTTGTTGTTGTTCTGATTGTTTTTGTTGTTGTTGTTGATATATATATATATATATATATATATATATATATATATATATATATATATATATATATATATATATATATATATATATATATATATATATATATATATATATATATATATATATATATATATATATATATATATATATATATATATATATATATATATATATATATATATATATATATATATATATATATATATATATATATATATATATAGTTTAATATATGATATTTGATATATGTATTTGATGCTTTTAGTGTTATTGAGATATATTTGATATTTGATATTTGATATAGTTTAATATTTGATATATGATATTTGTTGTTTGTTGTTGTTGTAAAATATGAGATATAGTTTATATTTGATATAGATTATGGTTGTTGTTGTTTAATATGATATTTGTTGTTGTTGTTGATGTAAAATATGAGATATATATATTTGATATATATTGTTGTTGTTGTTGTTTAATATGATATTTGTTGTTGTTGTTGATGTAAAATATGAGATATATATATATTTGATATATATTGTTGTTGTTGTTGTTTAATATGATATTTGTTGTTGTTGTTGATGTAAAATATGAGATATATATATTTGATATATATTGTTGTTGTTGTTGTTTAATATGATATTTGTTGTTGTTGTTGATATGAAATATGAGATATAGTGTATATTTGATATAGATTGTTGTTGTTGTTGTTTAATATGATATTTGTTGTTGTTGTTGATTATAAATATGAGATATAGTTTATATTTGATATAGATGGTTTGTTGTTGTTGTTTAATATGACATTTGTTGTTATTGTTGTTGATATTTGTTGTTGTTGTTGTTATTCTGAATGACAGGTATATTATGGCCAGCAACGAGGAAACATCACATGATGGAAAAGAAACACCCAAAGACGTTGAAGGCGAAATTAAAAGAGGCATAACGATAATGAAAAGAATCATCCGTGCGAGAGATAGAGGTGTAAAGTATGATGTCCATTGGAATGAAAGAGATCAGTTGGTTGAGCCTAATGGTGCGCTGCTGACAAGTTATATTGGAGCACTTGTACGTTCGCAAGTTCCGATTACTTGCGATAACTGGAGAATTCCTGCATTACAAGCGGCTAAGGATAAAATTTGGAGTGAGATTCAAGTATGAGATTTGATCATTTTTAATTATGTTGACAGTTACATCTTTAAATTAATTATACTAACATGTTATATGTATGTGTATTTGTTTGCAGAGATCTTTTAATATTGAGGATTCTAGGAGAAAATATTGTATTCAGTTGGCCGGAAAACGCTTGAGGGGATTTAGAGCGTTTTTAACCAACAAATTTCTTAAAGATTCTGATGGCAACTTTGTAGACTCGGAGCGTCCAGCGAAGTACGCTGATTTGATTTCGGATGCAGAATGGGAGACATTTGTTGCGAAGCGAATAACCAAAGAATTTGAAGTAAGTACAACTTATCATGAATAATGTATAGTATATATACCTATTCCACAAACAAACTGATATGACTTAAACTTGTTTTTTCAGGTTAAGAGTGGCGTAAATCGGGAACGGGCATCAAACCCTGCGTATCCATATAGAAAGGGGAGTTTGGGATATGCACGCTTAGAACAAAAATTAGTAAGTGCATATGTATGCTTTAATATGATCTATTTACAAAAAATAGTAAGTATACATAATAGGATATAATGCTTTATTGTTCGTCTTAATGCGTAGTTGGAAGAGGAGAAAAGTGATGTGACATCTCTTCCGGACCATGTCGTATGGAAGGCTGCCTGGGTGGGAAGAGATGGAGCCGTCCAAGAAGAAGTTCAACAAGTGTTTGAACAATGTGTAAGTACAACATTAGTTTTTGAACAAAGTGTTTGAACAAAGTGTATAAAATATTTAAATATGCTTTTATCTATATTTCAGGAGTCCCTATCCCAGACTATAACTCCTGCTGAAGATCACGATGATTGCAGGAGTTTATTGAGTTGGGTGTTGAATATTCCTGAGTACTCTGGGCGTGTGAGGGGCAAGGGATTTGGTGTCACTCCATCCAAACTGTATAAGCAGCCAAGGAAAAAAAATCCAACCAATAAAGAAGTGATGGCTACTTTGGAGGAAATGAAAGCTCAAATTCGTGAATTACAGAAGGATAAGGGGAGATACATGTCCGAAAGGCGCGCTCCAGAGGCCGGTAAAGCTACTAGTGACAAAGATAGTATCGGTTGTCCGCAGAAGCTTCCAGAGGTAATTGTATATATTACATTGAAATTAATTTAGCACATTTTTCTTAATTGACACATTAACTGATCATTATTTGTTTAGGGCATTTCACCTTGTCGACTATATTTATCGTCGCCGACTTATCGCATGGTTGGCAAGGGAAAGGTGCATAACACCCTGGGAGACTTACTTCACCATAAACCCCTCTCTGCTGGATTTTTGAAAGTATCTGTTGATATTGCATTAGAGGGGGGGGGGGGGGGGGCGTTGTTGCCTATACCAGACGATGTATCAGACGCAACAGTGGTGGGAGACGCGATAGGAGCTTATGTAGCATGGCCGGCGAATCTCATTTTCATAGATGATGAGGTAGGTTGAACCTTGTAATATTCCAATGTTTTATTACCCATACATGAAAGTTATTCTGACATTTACACTTTCTTATTGACATGATGATCTTAGACTCCCACAAAATCCAAAACAAAAGATGATAAAATTATTGTGCGGGATACCGATTCAGCTGCATCAAAGTTACAGGTACTAGTACTACAGTTTAAGTGATTATTTTATTATAAATTATTTACTGAACTTATATATGACTTTTAGGTTCTTGATCAGCAGTCGCAACAAGTCAGCAAGGGAAACATGCCTGAAACTTCCAAGGTGCCCAAAAAAAAGGTCGAGACAAAAAAAGCATTTGTTCCTCAATTTAGGATGTGCCTTGAAACATATGTAGGGACAACAGACGTGCCTGGGGGCGACATCCGTCTAATACATATGGATCAAGGTATTTTCGGTTTTGAATATCCCAAAACACTTGCTAAGGAGGATTTCGACCAGGTTTTCAAACATTTAGAATTGGGCGTCGGGGTTATGCATTCCTACATCAGGTACTTCGATCCATTTTAATTAGATAATTGAACATTTTAAAATTCGCTCGTTTAACTGAATAATCTAATGTTGATTATATTTTTTTTAGGTTCTTGTATGACAAGTTGTTGGTCCCCGCTGATTTGACTTCAGT